CATCTGGTAATCGATTCTGGGAGTAAGTGTAATATTTTAAGTGACGAAACGTGGGACTATCTGAAAAAATCAAAAGTAGTAGTATTTAATCAAAATAAAAAACCTAACAAAGTTTTCAAGGCCTACGCTAGCAACAAACCCCTAGATATTTTAGGGAGTTTCGAAGCTGAAATAAATATTCATCTCAATAGAAACTGCCACCTTCTATGTAATAAAAAATGGCACGAAAAATTTGTTGGGAAAAGATACCGCAAAATCTCTAGGTGTTTTACAAATAGTTGTAGGAAAACAAGAACATGTTAATGCCATATCTACCTTTCCAAAATTTAAAAATGTACTGGTGCACATACCCATTGATGATACAGTTAGACCAGTGATTCAGCCATATCGTAGAATTCCAATTCCTCTGGAAAATAAAGTGAACCAGAAAATTCAAGAACTGCTTGAATCAGATATAATTGAATCAGTGGCTAGCTATTCAAAATGGGTGTCACCAATGGTACCTATTTTAAAGTCAAACGACGAAATTCGAATTTGTATTGACATGCGGAGGGCAAATGAGGCCATTATGAGGGAAAACCACCCCTTACCTACGATGGATGAACTATTACCTCACTTTAGAAATGCAAAAATATTCTCAAGATTAGACGTTAGAAATGCTTTTCATCAAATTGAAATCAGTGAAAATTCTAGGTATATAACTACTTTCATTTCAAGTAAAGGTCTCTTTAGGTATAAACGCCTAAATTTTGGTATTTCTTGTGCCCCAGAGATGTTCCAAAAAATTATGGAGCGTATTCTTTCATCGTGTGAAGGTACTATTAACTTTATAGATGACATTGTCATATTTGCTGAAACCGAAAAAGATCATAATAGGCGACTAAAAACAACTCTTAGCGTATTAAATGAAAACAACGTTCTATTAAATGAAAATAAATGTATATACAATATTTCGGTTATACAATTTTTAGGGCATGAATTGTCACCAAAGGGTATTAAACCTCTAGATAAATATATATCTGTCATTAAAACCTTCCGTTCTCCCGTTAATGTTCACGAGTTACAAAGTTTTCTGGGTTTGGTTAACTATATAGGTAAATGGATCCTTAATCTGGCCACGCTCACAGAACCCCTAAGAGAAATACTTCGAATTAAACTAGGAAAAAACGCAGATATTACCAGACATTGGCAAGAGCGCCAACAGAACGCCTTCCAGGAATTGAAAGAATCCTTATCCAGAATAACAACGCTTGGTTACTATAATCCTGAAGATAGAACGCAAGTTATTGCAGATGCCAGTCCCGTCGGGCTGGGTGCTGTTTTAATACAATGCAATAGAGAAGGGCCCAGAATCATAGCTTATGGCAATAAAAGTCTTACGGACTGTGAGAAAAGGTACTGCCAAACTGAAAAGGAGGCCTTGGCTCTGGTATGGGCAGTAGAACACTTCCATATATATCTTTATGGGAAAAATGATTTTGAACTGATTACAGATCACAAGCCTCTGGAAGTAATTTTTGGTAAGAAATCGAAGCCCTGTGCTAGAATCGAGAGATGGGTCCTGCGTTTGCAAGCGTACAAATTTAAAGTCATATACGGACCCGGGAAAAGTAATATAGCAGACGCCCTTTCTCGATTGTGTATGAACGTTACGCCAGGTACCCCCTTCGATGATGAAGACGGACATATTCAACAAATTATTGATTATTCTCGACCTGTAGCTGTGCCTATTTCAGAAATAAAAAAATACTCTCGTTCTGACAATGAAATAATGGAAGTGCACAAGTGGCTCTTTACGGGTCAATCCAATGGTGAAACGAAACAATTTCAAGCGTTTCAATCCGAGCTATGTTTTCAGGATGACATTCTACTGAGAGGGACTAAAATTGTCATCCCAAGTAAATTAAGACTAGCAGTACTTCAAGCAGCTCACGAGGGTCACCCAGGAATAGTCGCAATGAAAAACAGATTGCGCACCAAAGTATGGTGGTCTAAGATAGACTCGGACGCTGAAAAACTAGTAAAAAGCTGCAAAGGTTGCACCCAACGTTGCCGTTCCCAATGCTCCGAGCCCGATGAAGAGGCGAGAGCTTCCAACAGAGGCATGGATTGATGTCGCAGTAGATTTTTTAGGGCCGGTACAAAATGGCCATTACCTTTTTGTTATAATCGATTATTTTAGTAGATATAAAGAAATAAAGATAATGACAACGATAACAGCTGCAAACACAATCAAGGTCCTTAAAGAAATATTTTCTCGGTTAGGTTTTCCTTCGTCTCTATAATACAATTCCTTATTGGCCACAACAGAACGGAGAGGTTGAAAGGCAAAACAGGGATATAGTAAAACGACTTAAAATTAGTCAGCAATCAAAAACTGACTGGAAGCAAGATCTTTTAGAGTACTTAATGATGTATAACGCAACTCCTCATTCAACAACAGGAAAACCTCCCGCAGAACTTTTTTTTAGAAGACAGTTCAGAGACAAAATTCCCACTCTAAGAAACCAAGAAAACAGCACATTAGATGATGAAGTTAGAGATCGAGATACATTAAAAAAGTCAACCAGAAAAGACTACGGTGATTTGAAACGAAAGGCAAAAGAAAGTACAATAGAAGCGGGAGATAAAGTGTATGTAAAAAATTTGATCAAAGAGAATAAACTCACCCCAAATTTTAGTCCCACCGCTCATACTGTGGTCGGAAAAAATGGTAGTGATGTCAATATTCAAAACGACGAAACAGGTCAGCAATTTCGGAGAAATATAGTCCATTTAAAAAAAGTGGAAGGGGAATGGGAGGTAGTTAATGACCCCGATAGAATGAATGATGAATAATAGTTCTAGATATGTAGGTATACATGTATTTTGTAATTGTAAAAAAATGTTATAAAATAATAATAAATGAATTGGTGTGAAATATGTATTAAAATTAGTTCTGAGAAATTTCATAGCTGATTGATAGGTTTATTGTATATGTAGTTAAAATATTAATATTGGAAAAAAAAGCAAACAAGGAAGGGATGTTAGTCCAAGAAACGGAGATCTGAAAAGAGGGGTTACCTCAACATAATTAGAAGTTGAATTTTTTTTGGAGGGATAGGTTCATTCTAATGTGCTAAACAACATATTAAGTTTGCGACCTTGTACTTCCATAGGGTTTTCAGTTAGGGGTGGTTTTTAGGGGTAATTTGAGGTTTATGGAGAACGCTGCTCAAAAGGATGGTCCAATAGCAAAAAGTTTCAAATTAATGTTGTAGCTGAAGCTTTTTGCTATAAAAAACTCAGCGACAGCACCCCTCTATCTTCTATAGTTTTTTTTCTGCAGCGTCTTGAATAGCAGCATGTTTTTGTTCAAGGTCACTGAATCAACATTTTGCCATTTTGCGCGCATTTGTTGCAGCAGCGGCCGAATGCATAATCCGATTTCAATTTTTCAAACACCACATTATTGCTAATGAAATTCACTCTCCAATGCTTTTTTGTTCGAATTTTTTGCTTGAAAATTAAGCGAGCACGGACTTGTCTAATGTGCGAGGAAGTTGTAAATTGCATCGAAAACTACCCCTTTCTTGCATTCACTCTAATTTCTAAACGGGGCCAAATATTTGGTGACAGTTTTCGACAATCGGCAGCCCATTTATTCCTCTCATAATGCCCCAGCGGATTTTTTTTTTCGTTAATCACTTAGCAAAAAGCTTCAGCTACAACATTAATTTGAAACTTTTTGCTATTGGACCATCCTTTTGAGCAGCGTTCTCCATTAACTGCAAATTACCCCTAAAAACCACCCCTAACTGAAAACCCTATGGAAGTACAAGGTCGCAAACTTAATATGTTATTAAGCACATGAAAATGAACCGATCCCCCCCAAAAAATGTTAACTCCTAATTATGTTGAGGTAAACTTCCTTCATTGCTTGGACTATGTAGTGTCTCATATTATTTATGTATTTTGGGAAAATACAAATTATGTTTGTACGCACCGTTTACCTGAATAGCGATGACGGTTCGATGACTCAGAGAATATACAAAGGGGTTGTGTAATCTAAATATTTGATTAATCTGAGGATCGAGCAGTTACTGTTAGACTGATAACCGGTGAGCATCACGTTAAAGACGTATAATTAGTTTGTCGTGTTAGTGATTAATATACGAGTTAAAACATTAGATTGTGTGTGTTTATCTCACCCAATAAAGGAGTACTACAGTTTCAAGGCCTATAGAGCTCTTTAATTTTCAAATAAAAAATTTGTGTGGAGGAAGACTTTGTGTTTCTTTTGATTTCAAATTTCAACTCCACTTTGAGTCATGGACTACTTTTTCAATTTAAAAATTCAAAAGCCGAGAAGGGACAAAAATTGAGACGGAAGAATGAGAACTATTTTCACATTTCAACTATTTTCACAAATCTATCTTGATGAAGAATCTTCTTCCAACAATTATCCTTTGTATAAAATATACCTAGTGGAATTTGGAATTGGCGTGATATTTAAAGAAAATATCATCAAATTCCAATTAAATATCAACGTCCTTGCCCTTTTAGTTTTAATATTAATTTTATGACAATCACATAGTGCTCATCTCTGATTCTCAAAAGTGTTGTATATAGGTAGTATTTTGATAATGATAATAATGTACCTAGATGCAAATTGAGGTCAAAGACATTGATTGCATCTGCCAATAATTAACACCTATAACATTCCAAAAATTCGGTACTGTATATGCAGAAGTGATTGGATTTGAGTCATTTTTGACCTGCTTAAGGTTTTCAATCAATTAAAAATTGACTTGATTCATTCACGATCTCATTAATTTCCCTAATCAAAATTAATTTTGAACTGGAAGGAATTTTAACGACATCTCAAAGCCTCATGAATTTTTAGTGTTGTCATTTTTTTTCTAAATTTGCTAGTTGGGACTTTTCTTTCAATATAGATAAATTTAAATTTGAAGTAACTTGGGAACGAGGCTAAAATGTCATATTAAATAAAAATACATTTAAAAAATAATTTGTTCTTTTATTTTTTCACAAAAATAGTAAAAGTGTATTTACAATGTATTGTGTGTAGTACATCAATATACAGTGGCAAGAATAAATAATAAAAAAAAAATCAATCACAAAATTACATGCAAAATAAAATAAGGCTTCCAGAAAGCAAAATTATAGAAGGTGCAATGAAAATAAATAAACAGTGCATAATAGAGTAAAAAGAATCTAATTTCTAATAAAAGTTGAAGAATTATTTGCTTTCTGCCACCTTAATTATTAAAAAATTTAGATAGAATTCTATTTAGAAGGTAAATGAGCTCCTTGCGGTTGAAAACCGTTTTCGTCAGCTATATACGTCACAGTGTAAGTGACGCCATCAGCTCCTGTGTAGCTGAAGCTGCCTCTGACTTGCATCGATTCGTTTTCGCTTCCGGCGTTTTGCAAAGTGCCTTGTTCTTGTTGAGAGATGCCGTTGCTAGTTTCGAAACTGAAAAAAAATATATTTCAAAATTGTTTGATTAATGAATAAAGAAAAACGCTATAACAATGGAAAAATTGTTACTATCGAGTATAAGAGGTTAATTAACATCATTGGGTCTAAAAATACTTAACATATTATTATGAAAGCGAAGACGATTATGAAAGTATTAACATAGTGGTTCTTCGCGACCTTGTCCTTTAAACACGCTTCGGAGAAGAATTTATAGGTTACTGGATAACATAAATTATTTCCGATATCGGATGCTTTTATAGTAATTTTTTACGTTATTAAAAACTTCAATTAAAGTGTTACTGAGAACGTCCAGTGGACGTTTACATCTAGTGCAAAATGTCACAACTTCAAATGTCATATGAACGTCAGAAATTGACGGTTTGAAATAGCAATCAGTGTAAAGTAATTTTCTCAGTCTCGAGTGTTCTTGTTTTATTCAGATGGCTTAGAAGACATACTCTTTTCAAAAAACTTTTTTTTCAAATTGTTGTCTCTTTGAATCACTGCCTTTCTCTCTGTAAATTGACAGCTGACATTCGACATTATTGACAACTGACATTTGATATGTCAATCTGTTGCTATTGCCAGAAAAATTTGAACTTTGAACATAAAGACATCTGAGGTTTTGAAAAAGTTACAAATTTTCCTGAATTCAGTCAAAGACATTTCAAGTAAATTCGTTGAGAAGTTGCAAATTCTTCAATGAAATTCAATAAAAATGGCGTCTGAATTGTTTTGAATCGTTGGAAATTTTCAAATTTTCATTATTCCCGGCTTTTGAATTCAATTCATAAGTTAGCATAAAAATTAAAAATTAGTAAAATTCCTTACAAATCAAACTTGCTTTTAAATGTCTGCGAGATAAATTTACCTATCTATATTCCTATTGGTCGGCAGATAACTGACTGACCAATGGGATTACAGATTGCGTTTTTATCCGCCAGATTGCATACCTGATAGTTTATTAGAATGTGAATAAACTGGCCTACTTTGTTAAAGCTTAACAGGAACAATAGTGCAATATTGTTTTCTCGCTCTTTCTTATGCGATTAGAAAAAAACAATCAAATATTCTCAATTCTGAACTAGAACACTCCAAAATGATTCCACATGCTTCTCATAAAATTTTTGAAAAATCTACTGGCAAAAAAACCACCCACAGACATCAACCTACCTGTCAAATGTCACGAATTTCACTATCATTTGAAAATGCATGGTCTACTTTGTTAAAACTTAACAAGAACAGTAGCGCAATATTGTTTTCTCGCTCTTCCTTAGGCGACTAGAAAAAGGCAATTAATACTCTAAATTCTGAACTAGATAAGGCCTTAAACGATTCCACTGCATGACAGCTGCTTCTCATAGAATTTTCGAAAAATCTACCGCCGAAAAAACAACCCATAGGCATCAAACTATCTGTCAAATGTCACAAATTCCACTGTCAATTGAAAATGCATGGCCTACTTTGTTAAAACTTAACAGGGGCAATAGTGCAATATTGTTTTCTCGCTTTTTCTTATGCGACTAGACAAAGACAATCAATACTCTCAATTCTATACTAGAAGGTTCCAAAATAATTCCACTGCTTCTCATAAAAATTTTGAAAAACCTACCGCCAAAAAAAAACAACCCATAGGCATCAAATTATCTGTCAAATGTCATAAATTTCACTATCATTTAAAAATGCATGGCCTACTTTGTTAAAACTCAATAACAAAAGCGGTAGTGCGTTATTGTTTTCTCACTTTTTCTTACGCAACTGGAAAAAGACAATTAATGCTGTCATATCTAAATTAGAAGGCCCCAAAACGATTCCACTGCATGGCAGCAGCTTCTTATAGAATTTTCGAAAACTCTACCGCCAAAAAAAAGAACCCATAGGCATCCAACTATCTGTCAAATGTTACAAATTCCACTGTCAATTGAAAATGCATGATTTACTTTTCTGAAACTTAACAAGAACAATAGTGCGATATTGTTTTCTCGCTCTCTCTTATGCGACTAGAAAAAGACAATCAATTCTAAACTAGAAGGTTCCAAAACTGCATGGCAGCTGCTTCTCATAGAATTTTTGGAAAATGTACCGTCAAAAAAACAACCCATGGGCAACAAACTATTTGTCAAATGTCACAAATTCTACTGTCAATTAGAAATGCATGGCCTACTTTGTTAAAACTTAACAAAGGAACAATAGTGCAATATTGTTTTCTCGCTCCTTCTTGTGCGACTAGAAAAAGATAATTAATACTCCCAATAGACCTATCTATTTTTACCTGTATGCGCGCGCAACACGAGGCAATGCATTTTTATTGGCTAACTAGTACAGGTGTGAAGTAATCCTTTTGCACGCTGGGCATCTCCTTGTCCTTGTTTATTGCTCGTGGTCTGACAAGGATAAAATTATGCTTGATATTCAACTTGACGTAGCTTGACAAGTGATCGATTTTCAATTGTTTGGGTTCTTGATGGACAAATACGTTGCATGTCACGCGGTTTTCCTCCTTCCTCTTTTATCCCGTGCAAATAATAAGAACGGATTGCTATACGTAAGTCTAACATAATTTGGTACGTTTGCCTCGTCTTGCGCAATGAGCGTTCTGCGTCTTTTTCTATCTAATAAAGTTTTCGTATTATTACCTCTTTGTCTGGTAAAATAGATAGGTCTATTCTGAACTAGAAGGTTCCAAAACGATTCCACTGCATGGCAGCTGCTTCTCATAGAATTTTTGAAAAATTTACCGCCAAAAAAAACAACCTATAGGCATCAAACAATCTGTCAAATGTCACTGTCAATTGAAAATGCATGGCCTACATTGTTTAAACTTAGCAGGAACAATAATAGTGCAATATTGTTTTCTCGCTCTTTCTTATGCGACTAGAAAAAGACAAATAATACTCTCAATTCTTAACTAGAACGTTCCAAAACTGGCCCTTAGTCTTATAAGAAAATATCTTGCAATTCTATCTTTTGTTCAAATTATTAGTCTCTTTCTCTCTCACACTAGACAGCTGACATTTGAAAGTTGACATTCGACAACTGATTTCAAAACTGTTTTTAAACTAGTTTTCCACGTTTCAAATTGCAAAGTAACTTCCTAAGTATGTACAGTAACAATTGTCTCAGTCGAAATTGCTCTGTTAAGAGTAAATTTTTCAAAAATAATTTTCCAAAGGATGGAATAAATGGAGTGTGGAAGCTTTTTCAAATTTTGTCTCACAGAAAAAAAAGCAGTCCTTTCAAAAAATTACGAATTTGCTATTTTTTATTTCATTTATCGTTCTCTCTTTCTGCATATATTGACATTTGACAGAAAGTTGACTATTAGACATTTAGACAGCTGACTCTGATTCAAATGTTTTAAATGAGTATTCAAGCCTTCGAATTTATATTATGGACTTCTACTAAAGTCCAACTTTGAAATGTCTCAAGGCTCTAACTGAAGTTTCTGAGAAGTCTTGAGAAATGTCAGAGTCTAAAGGTATGATAATTTTAGAATTAATAATCTCAAGATTCTGCTGATTTACTGAAATGAGCTTTCGAAGAATGTATAAACTTCAATCTTAGATGACTCAACATAATTTATGAAATTTCGAAAAGTCTCAAATCTCAATCTAAAGAAATACTTAACACTGAAGACTAATTTTACAAAAAAAATTCTAAAGATAGGTACAGGGCGAGGTACAGACTGATCTGTTATAAATGTCACCCCCTTCTAACTTTTTTATTTGACATTTTTGACAAAAGTGTCAAATACAAAAGTTGCAAGAAATTGTTGAAAGTTTTAGGCATACAGGGTGCGTCAAAAAACTGCAACAGTGTGAAGTTATATATTTTTTGAATGGAACACCCTGTATATTGTTCGTTTAATTGTTAGTCCTTTTTAACCTGATCTCAACGATATATGGTTTGATATATTTATCTTCAATAGTTATAGGGAAAAACATGATTGAAAAAAGAAAAATTATACCATTAAAGCTTCAGAGAATTTTTTTTATAAACAGTTAATTGTTCAAATTTTATTCATTAATATACAAGGTGAAATATTTTAATAAATCGAAATATCTAAGTTATTATTATTATTTTTATAAAAATAACATGAGAGACCTAGGAAGGAATTTTCGCGTTTTTCCCTATTACTATTGGAAATAAACCGAGAGATAAACATATCCAATCATATATTATTGGAATCAGGTTAAACAGGACTAACAAATAAGCGCACAATATACAGGGTGTTCCATTTAAAAAAAAATATATATAACTTCACACTACTGCACGTTTTTGACGCACCCTGTATGCCTAAAACTGACTTAGTTAAAAGCTTTTGAGAATTTCTTGAAACTTTTGTATTTGACACTTCTCTCAAAAACGTCAAATGAAAAAGTTAGCAGGGGGTGACATTTATAATAGATCACCCTGTACAACACTAAAGATTCCGGTGTTTTTGAAAGTTCGATTTTTTTAAAGGTTTCAAAAATATGAAAATTTAAAGGCTTTTCAGATTCCCAAGATTTCAAGGATTTTTACTTACCTTGAAGATACTTAAAACTTTTAAGATTTTTCAGGTTTTAAATTCAAAATTCTAAAGATTCTGATGTTTTGGAAGATTTAATTTTTCCAAAATTGTGAAGTTAAGGTTCAGAAAATGAGAAAATTTGAAAGCCCTTTAAATTTCGAAGATCTTCAAGAACTTAAGGATATTCACTTGAGTCTAAGAGCCTTGAATATTATAAGGAAATTAAGATTTTTATTATTTTAAAGATACAAAACTAAATATTCTAATGTTTCTAAAGGTTCTATGTTCCCAAAATTATGCAGTCAAGGTTCAAGAAATGTGAAATTCAAACGCTCTTTAGATTGTTAAGATCCTCAAGATTTCAAGCATTTTCACTTAAGTCTAAGAACCTCAAAGATTGTAAAGACACTGAGAACTTTTAAGAATATCTAGAGGCTTTAAATTCAAAATTCTAAAGATTCTTGTGTTTCTGAAGGTTGGATTTTTCCGAAATTATGAAGTCAAGGTTCAAAAAATGTGAAAATTTAAAGGCTCTTTAGACTTCGAAGATCTTCAAGATTTCAAGGATATTCACTTCAATCTAACAGCCTTGAATATTATAAAGAAATTAAGACTTATTATTTCAAAGATACAACACTAAATATTCTTATGTTTCTAAAGGTTCTATGTTCCCAAAATTATGCAGTCAAGGTTCAAGAAATGTGAAATTCAAACGCTCTTTAGATTGTTAAGATCCTCAAGATTGCAAGCATTTTCACTTGAGTCTAAGAACCTCAAAGATTGTAAAGACACTGAGAACTTTTAAGAATATCTAGAGGCTTTAAATTCAAAATTCTAAAGATTCTTGTGTTTCTGAAGGTTCGATTTTTCCAAAATTATGAAGTCAAGGTTCAAAAAATGTGAAAATTTAAAGGCTCTTTAGACTTCGAAGATCTTCAAGATTTCAAGGATATTCACTTCAATCTAAGAGCCTTGAATATTATAAAGAAATTAAGACTTATTATTTCAAAGATACAACACTAAATATTCTTATGTTTCTAAAGGTTCTATGTTCCCAAAATTATGAAGTCAAGGTTCAAGCAATGTGAAATTCAAACGCTCTTTAGATTGTTAAGATCCTCAAGATTGCAAGCATTTTCACTTGAGTCTAAGAACCTCAAAGATTGTAAAGACACTGAGAACTTTTAAGAATATCTAGAGGCATTAAATTCAAAGTTCTAAAGATTCTTGTGTTTCTGAAGGTTCGATTTTTCCAAAATTATGAAGTCAAGGTTCAAAAAATGTGAAAATTTAAAGGCTCTTTAGACTTCGAAGATCTTCAAGATTTCAAGGATATTCACTTCAATCTAAGAGCCTTGAATATTATAAAGAAATTAAGACTTATTATTTCAAAGATACAACACTAAATATTCTTATGTTTCTAAAGGTTCTATGTTCCCAAAATTATGCAGTCAAGGTTCAAGAAATGTGAAATTCAAACGCTCTTTAGATTGTTAAGATCCTCAAGATTGCAAGCATTTTCACTTGAGTCTAAGAACCTCAAAGATTGTAAAGACACTGAGAACTTTTAAGAATATCTAGAGGCTTTAAATTCAAAATTCTAAAGATTCTTGTGTTTCTGAAGGTTCGATTTTTCCAAAATTATGAAGTCAAGGTTCAAAAAATGTGAAAATTTAAAGGCTCTTTAGACTTCGAAGATCTTCAAGATTTCAAGGATATTCACTTCAATCTAAGAGCCTTGAATATTATAAAGAAATTAAGACTTATTATTTCAAAGATACAACACTAAATATTCTTATGTTTCTAAAGGTTCTATGTTCCCAAAATTATGAAGTCAAGGTTCAAGAAATGTGAAATTCAAACGCTCTTTAGATTGTTAAGATCTTCAAGATTTCAAGCATTTTCACTCAAGTCTAAGAACCTCAAAGATTGTAAAGACACTGAGAACTTTTAAGAATATCTAGAGGCTTTAAATTCAAAATTCTAAAGATTCTTGTGTTTCTGAAGGTTCGATTTTTCCAAAATTATGAAGTCAAGGTTCAAAAAATGTGAAAATTTAAAGGCTCTTTAGACTTCGAAGATCTTCAAGATTTCAAGGATATTCACTTCAATCTAAGAGCCTTGAATATTATAAAGAAATTAAGACTTATTATTTCAAAGATACAACACTAAATATTCTTATGTTTCTAAAGGTTCTATGTTCCCAAAATTATGAAGTCAAGGTTCAAGAAATGTGAAATTCAAACGCTCTTTAGATTGTTAAGATCCTCAAGATTGCAAGCATTTTCACTTGAGTCTAAGAACCTCAAAGATTGTAAAGACACTGAGAACTTTTAAGAATATCTAGAGGCATTAAATTCAAAGTTCTAAAGATTCTTGTGTTTCTGAAGGTTCGATTTTTCCAAAATTATGAAGTCAAGGTTCAAAAAATGTGAAAATTTAAAGGCTCTTTAGACTTCGAAGATCTTCAAGATTTCAAGGATATTCACTTCAATCTAAGAGCCTTGAATATTATAAAGAAATTAAGACTTATTATTTCAAAGATACAACACTAAATATTCTTATGTTTCTAAAGGTTCTATGTTCCCAAAATTATGCAGTCAAGGTTCAAGAAATGTGAAATTCAAACGCTCTTTAGATTGTTAAGATCCTCAAGATTGCAAGCATTTTCACTTGAGTCTAAGAACCTCAAAGATTGTAAAGACACTGAGAACTTTTAAGAATATCTAGAGGCTTTAAATTCAAAATTCTAAAGATTCTTGTGTTTCTGAAGGTTCGATTTTTCCAAAATTATGAAGTCAAGGTTCAAAAAATGTGAAAATTTAAAGGCTCTTTAGACTTCGAAGATCTTCAAGATTTCAAGGATATTCACTTCAATCTAAGAGCCTTGAATATTATAAAGAAATTAAGACTTATTATTTCAAAGATACAACACTAAATATTCTTATGTTTCTAAAGGTTCTATGTTCCCAAAATTATGAAGTCAAGGTTCAAGAAATGTGAAATTCAAACGCTCTTTAGATTGTTAAGATCTTCAAGATTTCAAGCATTTTCACTCAAGTCTAAGAACCTCAAAGATTGTAAAGACACTGAGAACTTTTAAGAATATCTAGAGGCTTTAAATTCAAAATTCTAAAGATTCTTGTGTTTCTGAAGGTTCGATTTTTCCAAAATTATGAAGTCAAGGTTCAAAAAATGTGAAAATTTAAAGGCTCTTTAGACTTCGAAGATCTTCAAGATTTCAAGGATATTCACTTCAATCTAAGAGCCTTGAATATTATAAAGAAATTAAGACTTATTATTTCAAAGATACAACACTAAATATTCTTATGTTTCTAAAGGTTCTATGTTCCCAAAATTATGAAGTCAAGGTTCAAGAAATGTGAAATTCAAACGCTCTTTAGATTGTTAAGATCCTCAAGATTGCAAGCATTTTCACTTGAGTCTAAGAACCTCAAAGATTGTAAAGACACTGAGAACTTTTAAGAATATCTAGAGGCATTAAATTCAAAGTTCTAAAGATTCTTGTGTTTCTGAAGGTTCGATTTTTCCAAAATTATGAAGTCAAGGTTCAAAAAATGTGAAAATTTAAAGGCTCTTTAGACTTCGAAGATCTTCAAGATTTCAAGGATATTCACTTGAATCTAAGAGCCTTGAATATTATAAAGAAATTAAGATTTTTATTATTTTAAAGATATAACGCTAAATATTTTGATGTTTCTGAAGGTTTTATGTACCGAAAATTATTATGCTGTCAAGTTTCAAAAAAATGCGAAATTCAAACGCTCTTAAGACTACTAAGATCTCTAAGATTTTAAGGATTTTCACTTAGGTCTAAGATTAAACAGATTATAGAGACACTGAAAACATTAGGGACTCCAAAGATTTTAGAATGAAGATTCTGCCCATACGTCGAAGGCCCATACTAAGACATGTGAAAATTCAAGAAAAACTTAAAGAATTCGAAGATTTCAAAGCTTTTTATCCAAAAGACTCTAGATTTCCAGAACATTTTAAAAAGTGACATTTGGAAACTGAACGTTAAGAAGAGCTCAAACCTTGGAAAAACTAAATATTCAAACAATTCAGCTCTATTTTTCAAGATTCTATAAGAATGAAAATTTCAGTGCTTTGAGCCACTAAAAATTCTTAAAATGCGTCTTCCAACATCTTCGATCCATCAGGCTCTTAATTTTCCGAGTGAATAATGGACTTTAAAATTGAATTGAATCGTTTTACTAAAATTACCAGTGAGATCTAATAATGAAATTTCAGCATAAAAATGCATATTCCATAATACAGGAAAGAAAATCCCATTTTTTTACTCTGACAATGTTGAGTATTATAATTGCTCATGTTTTCATCTCCATTGAAATTTGAGCAAAACAAAATAAATTATACACCAACAGAAAGAGCATTCTCTATAAATCTATACTAAATTAGTTCTGATGGGTGATATAGTTTTTGAGAAATCGAACGTCAAAGTTAAATTTTAATTGAAATTTTCTCAAAAAACTTTGCTGAACGTTTTGTCTTTTTCTTTTCGCAGATACTTACGCAAAATTGTACCCATCGATTCCAGTATTGTCGCTGTCGTACTTCAAAACTTGAGCTTGGGCGTCCTGAGGGTTAACTTGGGGGGCGGCAAGGGCGACAGCCAAAAGGGCGGCGAGAACAATAATCTAAACAATATAAACAACTTTATTTCAATTTCTAAGTGCAATTTTAACCAAAATTGTTTGATGATGATGCTTTTTTAACTTAAAAATTCATAAATTTATATATTTTTTAATTATTAACTGTTTTTAAAAAAATATCATTATTGATTTATGTTAATTACTCAAGGTTGTAAAATTAATTCATGCAAACAAATACGTTATATATTATGAATGAATCAGGAATAAATTACTAATACATTACTCTCGAGACACAATTATCCAAAAAAACACTGAAAAATCACGCACTCACCATCTTCATTTTTCCAATTATTTAAAAAAACCAAAAAAACACCCACACGTTTAAACAAACGCAACCAAACCAAAAGACTATTTTTCCCAGTTGAAATAATTTCACTTTTATACCGTCACTTTAGGGGTCTTCTTCTTATTTGTAATTGACATTTTCCCCTCTTCGTTTACATCTTCTTCTCGGTACTCATTTTGGCATTGCGGGCAAAAGTTCAGAGGTACCTACTAGTCGTAACCGTGCATGAAGGAACGTTATTACATCTTCGAAATTGTTTTTTTTTTATGTATGTAGGTACCTTATATGCTAATACTTACGTATTTATTGTTTATTATTTGCTCAAATGATAGTTTTTTGACTATGTAAATTGAATGACTTTGCGTCTTAATCAAAAAGATGAATGAAAATTGAACGCAAGGCAAAATCATCTATCGATGGACCTGATTTTGTCTGAATTGAACTGTTCTTTGTCTCTTAGACTGTAAAACAACTTTAGATTTGGTATATCAAAATCATTGCTGTATGTTAATGAATGAATCAGTAATCTGACTTGTCAAGTCTAATGACTTGAGAATTTAATTATGATCTTTTTTATTGAAATATAGTTTACCAACTAGTTTTGATTGGATACAGGGATGAATTTCCTTGGCCAAAAATTCTAAAACTGAAGGTGATTGAAAAATATGACGCTAGAAATTCAAATTCACAAAATGCCATACATGGTCCTTATTCTTGAAACAGGGGAGCAGCCTTCCCAGGAGAACGAGTGTTCCATCTTTGTTAGGTACTTATATTATCAGTTATATATCATTGTCAATCATTGAGAAAGACGGAACACTCGTTCTCTTGGGAACGCTGCTCCTCAATTTCAAGAATAAGAACCCAGGAAGTTTACTTATCGAATCTGGTATTATTTGAAGAAAAGCTGTATGTTCGTAATAGTAGTTGAAATGGTAAAGAACTCTATGAAATATGGACTGAAAATAAGGATGTTAAACATTTATCCATGTCAGGCGCGGTCCCAGGGGGGGGGGGGCGCAGGGGGCGCGCGTCCTTCCCTCAGCCATCCTCGGCCATAATTTCATGGTATAACCAAATAAACAAAACATACACAATACAATAATTAACTACATATACAAATTATTTCAATTCTCCGAATAATTTCAACGAGTCCCGTGTCTGTAGCCACTGCAGAACGTAGTTTTTCTTAACAGATAAGGATCGTTATCCCTATCGCTATGGCACTTACTGTCTTCTTCTTTCTTATCGAAATCAATAGAGAGGAGACGTTAATAGAGATAGAGAAAATATCTCTATTTGTTACAGAGTTCCAGCTGAAAACTTATCTGCGCTCTACAGTAATACAAGACCGACTTAATGGTCTTGCTCTTTTATATACAGGATGTCCGGAAAACAGCGTAAAAACTCTTCAGTGCGTGATGGAGGACCTTGGTTGTCAGATCAGTTTTTCCTGTTGTAATTTAAAGATTTGGCAATTTTTATAATGTCTTTTAAAGGCTAACTACAAATTCTTATAAACCATTATGTTATGAATCAACGAAATATACCTAACACTTCATCATATTACCAAGGATAGTCCAGAAGGATTTTTTCAATTATTTTTCTAGGGTTACTCGAAGGATCCTCTATTACGTAGTGTAATGGAGAGCTTTTACGCCATTGCCTGAACACCCTGTATACACCGAAATATTGATATAGATATACAGGGCGTATCAGGTATGAGTACAAATATTGTAACATGAGATAATATGGCCCATTTCAAGCTAAAAATGTCCTATTAACCATGGGTCAATTGTTAGTATTTTCGGAGTTATCGCATCAGAATTTAAATTTAAAAAAATGTCAACAACGTGACCACATTGTACAGGTATTATCTCTGCCAGGATATAAATGTAAATAAAACTAGTAAATTTGAAAAGTTTTTTTTTTACACGGAGTTTATTTATTTCCATCTGTTTACGTTTTGGTTTGTTATTGGCTTTCAAATAATGTAAATAATAACTTGCATTTTTATCACTTTTCTAGTAAAAATAAGAAATGTGCCGTTTTATTAAGTTGTGAATTGCACTCACTGACATTTTTGCATTAAACATTCAAGAGAAAAATCAAATACTTACTTAGCTACTAGACTAAAATCAACACGGAGATTTTGCACACTATCACTTCAGGTATCACGCAATCTTCATAAAACGGGCATAATGTTCTTTCATCAGGTGGGAGCTTTTCTTTTGGGAAATCTTTCCCTAGTTTCACTGTAAATTCTGGCGGCTAAATGAGTATTTTGCAACGATTCTGCCTAAACAAGTATCTGCATATTCGAAGTTTGTAAACATTTTAGGCCTAAAACACACATAGCGGTTTCAGCCGAGTCGGCACCGATTCGGCGGAGGAGCGGTTCGAAACACACACAGCGTTACCGCGCCTGGCGGATCAGCTAATTAAAAAATGCTTAATCTCGCTGTTGCCAGTTGTTTGCGTACAGTCGCACCATACGCAATGGCGTCTTCTAGTGACGAAGATTTTTTTTTGGATTTTGTTAGAATATTCCTCTGAGCCCATATCCCAATTTTCCATAATTTTTTTCTAACTGGCAACACTGATGTTCACGAAAATCAAAAAACTGTACTAAAACCGCCGACGTGTGTTTCCTTCCATAAGCGAACAGGGAATGATGCGCCGAGCGTGTGCCGACTAGAGTCGTAGAAACGCGCGCGGCACATAATAGCAGGGTACGCTCGGCCGCCGCTCGGCAGCCGCCTCTGACGCGACACCGTCTGGTTCATACAATAGAAGTGTCATAAACGGGACGCCGCTTCGGTGGCCGACTCGGCAAAAAACCGCTCCGTGTGTTTCAGGTCTTTTTTCAAAAAATAATAAATTTGTATTACGCGCGTTTCCCAACTAAACAAGACAAATCAAGAATCATTTTTATCCAGTTCAACCAAGGTTCAACGTTCAACCACCTATTCTTTATTGTGCTATGTTGCCAGATGTTTAGATACCTACCGATTTACAAGTGAAATTTTTACGTAGTTTTTTCATTTTTTTGTTATTATTGCTGACTAAAAATCCAAAATCCATCCCTTTTCTATATCCATTGAATTTCGCATACCATTTCTCTCTAATCCAGGTATTTGATTGATTGGTCAAATGTAAGACCACTCAAGCGCCGGTAATAATCAAAATTTGTGTCACTTTTTGAAGTGAAACCTTAGTGACAAATAGAAATATAGCATTCAATTGACAGGTACACCCCCACTCCTCTGTCGCCAGCGACATTTTCCCGAGTTGAATTATTTCAACTTTTCATCAGCATTGTTCCTGTCAACAATTTCAGCACAATTGTACTGAAATCTGTACAATTGTCATTTAAGCAGTACATCAGTACAATAGAAGCTAATTTCAGTTTTAGCACAATTTCACAATGATAACGTAATTTTCAGTGAAATTTTTGAATGTATCCCGTTTGTATTTTTAGTTAACCGGTCGTTAATTGGCCTAAGAATGTCGGTTCCTGAAAAGCCGGTTTAAAACGGACCAAGTTTGCTTTTCCGGTAAGCATTTTGTCATTTCTGTTAGAGCCAAGGATATGACGTCATTCTCGAAGTTAGTTTATTTGTCAAAATAGTTTTATATAATACCCGCCTGTAGACACGTCATTTGCTTTAGACCTTTTTAAGACAGTTTATTGTTTAAGATAAATGAAAACCAAAAATATAGGTTTTTATGTTATATTTAGAATGACGTCATCGAACAAGACCAGGGACGTAGCGAAGGCCTCTGGTTTGGGGGGGGGGGGGGTGATATTCCTAATTTTCTCAACTTTATTGAAACATAAAAAAAATCACATGGAGTGAATGAGTCGGAGTATAAAAAGGCTACACAAAAGATAAACGCGCATCTGTATTGACGTCACAAGGGTATCGGCGCTTGACAAGAGTAACCGCACAAATACAATGACAGTTTTCACTGATGCTTTTCAGTTTTTAGTTTTGTTGGCAAAACTTGTCGAATCCACACGGCCTCAATTAATTTTCGAAACATTCAGAACACGCACTGTGACTCTACGAGAAAACTGCCACTGCGGCAAATACACTGCGTTCCGCAGGACCAAAACTGCGTCACGTCACGCTGCGAAGTAATACGCGCATTACCTATTCTTACTTGGGTTGACAAAAACTCACCGTGAGTCAGGCTCTCTCACTTGGTTTGTGTCAATCGTTCGTCGGCTGTCATTATCATTCGCTGTCTTTCTCCGCCCCTCTACGTTATATCTTTCTTCTCTCTCGTCTCTCGTGTGCCGAAATTTGCCAAAACGTGTTATTCCATTCTCGTCCAAATCAGACCGCCGCGTAAGAAGTTTCACTTCAGAAAAATCATGTGTAGCATCGTACACGTGTTAAGAAGTGAAACTTTTTAAAAACTATTTCTTTAACTCAAGAGCACCAGGATTCAGAGTTATGCTGAAATCTGAATAGCGAGCGAAGAATGCGCAGAACGCAGAAGGCAACATAATATAAGAAGTAGAGGTGGGCCAACCTGCGATTTTACTGGAGCTGTGACAAGACGTGACTGCTCCAGTCGTGTCACGGTGATAAATAGCAGTGAATTTTTGGAACAGTTTAACCTTGATTGGCCATGCTGGTAATACATATAAATGCTACATTACATAATCGCAGTCCGCGCAGCTCGCAGTCACGGAGAGAGGTGTTCCAGTTTGTCCTCTGCAGTAGCAGTTTCTGTTTGGCCTTACCGCGATGCGATTTAAAATAATATTTCATTATTTGCATCACTTTGACTTGAGTTTAGTCCGCGCTGCATCTGCATCGGTGAAGCAGTGACAAAGTCACAGTTCGTGGAATCGCAACCCACCTCTAAAACTGAGTACTTGAAGTACATCTCCTTCTTTGTTTCACTCATTTATAACCGCATTTGTTGTTTTTGCAAACGTATCCTACCTTATCTACTTCTTTGTCTTACTATTTTTGCTAAAAATACAGTCAAATTAACATTAAAAATGAAATTTGTTTGTTGGAAAAAGAGGAAAAACATTCTATTTGAGATTGTAAATGTGACAACGTTATTTTCGATCAAGTAGGCCTTGTAATGTAATGTCATTTGCCACTT